AGAGAGGTATTTTGACATATTGATTTTTGATTGATGCAAGTAAGATTTTCAGGCCATTAGTTACATGGAAACCTTTTTTAAAAAAAACCCCAAAGTGGTACATAAAAATGAAAATGCAGTCTTTATATTTGCTGAGCTACCATCTCTTACAATAAATTAATTCAAAATAAAACACTCTTGGAAAGGTTACACTGTTATGCTAAGGCTATGTTGTACAGTTCAGTGCATCTGAATAAAAAAAGTGTATGTTAAAAAATTCAGTTTGTAACTGGATAGAAAACTGTCTTTTAGACTGTATCCAGAGAGTGGTAATTAATGATTCATACTCTGAATGGTATGAGGATGTTAGTGGTGTCCCCCAAGGTTCAGTGTTGGGACCCTTAAACTTTTACCTATTTATAAATGATATATACTATGGGATTAAAAATACAATTTCTGTGTTTGCAGATGACAAGAATTATCTTGTGGAATAAAGTCCGGAAGAGCTGTCTCTAATTTAATAAGCAGCCCTGAATACACTGTTTGATTGGGCATCTATGTGACAAATGAGGTTTAATATTGATAAATACTGTATGAAGTTATGCATGTGGGGGGTTGAAAACATGCATGCATCATACATCCAATGGGAAGTACAACTGGGGAAGTCAATAATCAGGAAGGATCTGGGTGTTGTGGTAGATCATAGACTTAATAACAGCATGCAATTTCAAGATGCAGTACTCCAGAGGTAAAGACCCCACTTATCATACCCCTCTACAAAGCATTAGTAAGATCCTATCTAATTAGTCACTTCCTTTTGGACACCATTTCACAAAAAGGATGTTGTGCAACTGGAAAGAGTGCAGAAAATGGCAACAAAACTGAATACAGAAAGGCTTCATCACAGTAATAGCTGAGAAAATGTGAGACAGACTTTCTCAGGAACTAGTTCTAGTCAGCTCAGTTGTTCCTAGTGGATGGATGTGTTTCTAAATGTACCTGACTATTAATTTGTAAGTAGTGACACCATAGATTGTTGATCCAGGGAATTTCCAAATGCCTAAAAGGATCATGAATTTTGACCCCCATGTTAGAGCAAATCGGATCATGCTTTATCAGAGTTTTTCTCCTCCCGCTGGATCAGCTGTGGATTTAGGGTTCTGTATATGCAGGTTTTTAATTTGTTTTTATTTATTTATTTCATTTTTCAAGTATAAACTCCTAAATTGCACAGCTTAGTAGGAGCAGGAATGAATACTATGAATGTGAAAACGTTGAAAGCTGTGATAAGAGGGAACCTGACTAAGGGGTAGTATAACATAAAAATAAGTTTACATTTCAAACGCCTAAATAGCAGTCAATATTCCTATGGTATATTATTGCTTGTTGTTCCATTGGTTATCTTTATTGTAGCTAATGTTCTGAACAATGTCAATAGAATTTTATGAAAAACAGCAGGGCCATAGAACGGGGAGGCAATTCACTGAGATATTGCTGTTTGAGCACAAGTTTTTGTTTCACTATCTGTTTGCTGTGTAAGAAACATGTTCAATATCAATATATAAATGTCAATTAGAGATCATCAACATTGTAACCTTATAATTCTTCGGCTTACTTATTTTAGTATTGTAACAGCCGAGTAATTATAAATATTGTGTTCTGCATTTATACATATAATCAGCCTTATTTTATTCGAATTAACAGTGCAGAAAGCAAAACCCTGTATGCAAAAACCAATAGCAACCAATCGGTTCACACATTTTTTTATTAATTGTTGCATGGGGTTGCTTTATAAAGATTACTGCTAGCATTCAATATCTTCTATCCAATAGTGATTTTGTACTTAAAGCAATAAAACTCTAGCACTTTTCTTCTCTCTATTATTATTACGGCCTATACAGAATTGTGACTAATATTTTCTCCTGTGGGGTATACACCGGTGGGCAGCCACATATTCATTTATGTTGATGATCCATATGAGCCAGGGAACTTGGGGGGGG